AGGGTAGATCACCAAATCAGCTCCATAATTTTACTAAAAAACCTGGCACACAACTGAATCGCAAGAGGAGGGCCAGTATCAGCAGTGGCAATACATTATGCCTGCTGCCTGAATCTTCCTCAGAATTAACACTAGAATCGTGAACATTCCACAGAAAGCAGAACAGCTAGCCTTGGGCTAACTGGGATTAATTCGAGCAAGACAGCAGTAAACCAACAGCATCATTGTACAGCTGTATTTTGTATAGCTGGTCCATACTACAAAATACGGTACTTTTTAACAAACATGTAGCACTCCTTCCTCCTCCACGGAGGAAAAAGAAGAAAAAAAAAATCACTGAAAACAGACAGTGATACTATGAGCCACATAATTTTTTTTTTTTTTTAGAAATACCTAGCACTTTAACTTGGTCTACACTTACATGTAGTATCAGCACAGCAATACCAATTAGAAACATGGTGGGGGGAGGGGGTGGGAATCTCAGCCCCAATCAATACACACACTATTGTAAAGACAATGAGAGCCCTTTTGTGAATACCACTTATTCCATGCAGGAAACTGGTACTAATTATCCCAACCAAGGAAATTTGCCAGCATAACCTGAAATTCTAGTTACCTGCAGGCAAAGTATTCTCTTGGTAGGCAAGCCCTCACAAAATGCTTACAGACACTAGTTTTTCAAAAACTCTTACCTTCTGTATTTGTACAGCCAGCTCCCTTGTTGGTGCAAGAATCAATGCCTGGGTTTCCCGAACCTGGTAAAGACAATCAAACACATCAGACATGCCCCAAAAGCAGCACAGTCCATTGCGTCAGATTTCAAGAACAATCCACCGCATACATTGCGGGCTAAGAGCTGTTTGCAATAGCTCATCCATCCTATTCAATCCCGCCTATATTGAAATATTTCCTTGTTTAAGCCACTTTCAACAACATATCATCCATCTGCACCTTTCACTCAGTCAGCTCATTTTCTCCCTGCCAGCTACACCACCATGTTTTGGCCTACTTTTTGTACTGCACTATGTGCCCTTTGAATTGGTTGTTCTTTTTTGTCTGATGTGACTGACACAGTTTATTAAAAGACTTTTCAGTTCAAACGTTACTTGTTTTCAGGATGAAGGGCAGAAATCTTAACTTTTGCAAACGTTCAGTAAGACTACATATTAACATTTATTGCACTGGAAGAGCATTACAAAGACAAAAACTTCCTTTAGAACTGACTTTACCATTCTGAAAGTGTGAATTATTTTTCTAAATTGTTACTGCACAAAGGGAGGTAACAGAGGAAGAAGCAGAAACAAAGACTCATTGTAAGACAGTATTACTTTCTATAAAATCGTGATTATTTAATACCACATATCCCTTAAGGCTCTGATGCCAAAAATCAGTAAGGCATCAGCACTCTACATCAGCAAGTCCACCAGCATCAATGGGACCATTAAACATGCATTACAATACACTCTGTGTGTGACACCATGCTATGACTTATGGCTTGTTTGTGAAGACAGGGTGATGCTGCCAGAGGTGAATTTTGAAAAACTGATTTAATCTGTTGTGAAATATTTCTATTTTGAAAATATATGGACATTCTTTGAAAGGGAAGGGATGCAAAAGCCAATAAAAACCAGCTTAACAACAATGGAATTTTATCCTAAGTATTCTTCCCCTTGGCCCAAAATTCTCACCCAACTCACAGAACCAGACCCAACAAATTAATGGAATTACACACGAGAAAAAAGAAGAGGAACCAGCCACTTCTGTCTTCCAATGACTCCTCGTATTAAAAGAGGAATACAGTCAAGCAGAGCAGAAAAGTTAAAATCCCTGCAAAAGTGGAGTTCTTAGTCACAATCTTGGATGAAATCTGCAAAATCCAGTTTTCTGCTAAATTTCAATGCCCGTTAAAAGATTTAAATGTAAAGCTCTATTCACCAATTTGTAAACAGACAACCATAAAAGCAGTGGCTTATTAAAAAAATTATATGTACCTGAGTTACAAGTTGTAAAGTGCCTCGAATAATAAAAAAGTACCTGAATATCCAGACACTGCAGAACCGAGATACAAAATGTTGCCGTTTTTCCTGTTCCAGACTGTGACCTGGAAAAAAATATTACATATATTTTTAAGTGCTCAATTTCTTGATAATACATATAGCCAATTTTAACTCATTCCCCAAAAGCAAGATTAATTTCTTGAGTAGTCGTTCTATATTTAACTTGGCAATGAACTGACAATATGCATTTTCAATATTGCACATTACAGAGTTTTAGCTGATGGGGTTGCACAATTTTCAGAATAAAAACAGTATGAAGCTAGCAAAATCCTTCTAGAAAATGCTCTTAAACATAAATTCCCAAACTCTGGTACGTATACCTTTGGTGGTACTAAGCCCAAAGTTTCATTGATGCATTTCACAGCAGTTTTTAAGATTGTTGTACATGGAATAATAAAGTTTCACTGATAGTTTTAACAGGTTGATTAAGCCACACACTTACATGACACAGTGCAAAAAAATACCATAAGGTTTCCCTGCAGTGAATTACACTGAATATGAAGCAAGTACGCAAAGTGGAGGATTTTTAGAGAACCCTCCAAATGTGGACAGGCTTGTCAGTCTCCCAGGGCCAATAAACTCCTAAAGCCTAAAGATAAAAAACAAGCATATTTAAAAAAGCTGTTGAGTGTTCAATCCATTGATCTATGGGATAGTCTGGATAGAGATAATCCTGCCTCAGGCAGGGAGTTGGACTAGATGACCTCTGGAGGTCCTGTCCAGCCCTACTTCTCCATGAACATCTCATTATCAAAGAGAGAAGAACAAGCTTTTTCTCCTCGTGTAATTCAACTTAAAGCCACCAAATATGCCTGGCTGACAAAAAAGATCAACCGCAAAGCCCACCTCAGCTGCTTGTCAGCTACAGTTGAAAACAGGTTGAGGAGCTTATCAAATAAGGATGCAACTGCACTTACCTTCCCCAATGCTTGCATTTATAACAAGTTTCAGGAGTTAACATGTGGATGAGTTCTCACACTTACAGTGCATTTAACTGTTGTGCCATATAGTATAATATGGCACAATAGTTATATTGTGCCATATAACAGTGCATTCAACTATTGTGCCATATAACTTCTTGCTGACTTCTTGTGTACAATACCAAAAATTTATTAACTATAACAGTGGTCACCAAACAGTTGATCGCGATCAACTGGTCAGTCTGGAAGCCCCTGGCAGTTGACCTCAGTCTCAGGCTCCAGCCGACTAGCCACCACAGACTAAGATCAACTGTCAGAGGCCCTGCAATCAGGAGCAGCAGGATGCACATGGCTGGGCTGAGTCATGCCCTGTCACTAGGGCCAGGCTGGATGAGTGACACAATCCTCATCCATGCCCCCTGCCACCTGGTGAAAGGAGCCCCGGCTGGATTAGGGGAGGGTCAGAGCCCAGGGTGGCCCATCCAGGCACACAGGGGGTCTCCCTCCGCTGCACACACCCCAGTGGAGGCCCAGACAGCACATGCTCCCACGATCTGTGTGCAGGGCTATGTGCAGGGCAAAGCAGTGGCCACTGCATGCTGGGCTTTGTGCCCCAAGCCCTGCTGCAGCTCAGGGCGCAAAGCCCAGCGTGCAGCAGCAGCCACCTCACCTTGTGCACAGATCAGGGGGCACACGCCCCCGGGCCTCTGCAGGGGTGAGCGCAGCAGCACCCCCCCCAATGTGCCTGGACAAACCACCCGTGCTCCAACCCTTCCCTCGCCCAGCTTAGGCCCCACTCACCCCTGTCCCACTCCCTCCCTCACCACGGAGATCTCAATCTGCGTCCCCCTGCCCTCCCTCCCCCCTACAGATTGACCTGCTGGGTGGGAGGGTGGTGGGAGTGGGGCATAGTAGATCCTGGATTGCCCTTTACTTAAAAGAGTGATCTTCACCTTAAAAAGGTTGGAGACCACTGAACTACAATGTTAAAATAGGCAACTGAGTTCTAAAAAACATATTTATAACTGTTATGTTATTCCTTGGTTATACTTTAATACTGCTATTAAAAAAATAAGCAACTGATGCTCTTCTGTGTGGAGCACCTTTATAAAGATATGTGAGGCAACGATTTTGTGTAGGTGATATCTTATTGGACCAACTGCACGGTTGGAATACATTTAAACAAGCTTCTGAATACAAGACACTTCTCATCAGAACTTGCCGCCTACACACATCCTGGATCATCACAGGTACATCATTCTACCACTTTATAAAGACAAACATGTTATATCATTTTTTTTCCTTCAATCACATAATTTCACTTACTGTGCAATCACATCTCTTCCTTTAATGATCTGTTTGATTGCTCTCTGTTGGATTGCCGATGGCTTCTCAAAACCTGCAACATTTGAAACAATGAGACACCTTTTTAAATGCCTGCTCACAGGTGCACAGAAGTAGTGCTGCGAGTAATTTGAAAACTGAAGCGTGAATCCAAGTGTAAGTGTGTTTTCAGAAGCATATACGGCAGCAGTTCCCAAACTGTGGTTCGTGACCCCAAATGGGTTCGCAACATCAGCAAATGAGGTCGTGATAAACATGGATCTGGGTTGAGAGTGAGGGGCCATGCTGAGGAAATGTGGTCACAGAGACACCAAGTGCCTGGACCCAGTCTGGCCTTTGGATTCTGTCTCAGTGTCCTAAAGGAGGGTGGGGAGGATGCAAGGTCTAGGCAGCTCCAATCTCCTGCCGAAGCACATACATGGAAGGTCTGGGCGACCTCCCATGCATACACCATACTCCGGGAGGATCAAGGGTTGCCAAACATCGCCAGGGCCGCCCCGGCAGGGCAGGAAGCGGGCGCGCGCGGGCCCGGGGAGCTCCGGGCGTGCGCACAAGGCCCGGCCAGGCCCGGCCGCACGCGCTGCCCTCTGCTCCCCCTCCCCAGCTTGGCCCCAGCCGCGCACCGTAGGCGTAGATGCCGCGCAGCAGGTCCTCGCGCAGCCCCATGGTGTCGAAGGTCGGCGTGACGTCCACCTCCTCGCTGGTCTCGAACTCCACCTTGGTCATGTCCTCCTCCTTCATCAGCCGCTTGCGGGCCGAGCCCGCTACGCCCGCCGCCCCCGACATGGTGGCCGCCCCAACAGCGGCCTGGACGCTCCGACCGGGCCTGGCCGCCTCACGTACGTACGTGCGTGCGTGTGTAGCGACGTCAAGCCGCACGGAGCGTACGCCGTTCCCCGCCTCCCAGCGCTGGCGCATGCGCGCTCTCTCCGTTCTTCCCGGCGGTTCTGAGCAACTGCTCAGGCGTAGGCACTGACCTCATTGCCACAAGGGGCCGCTGCCCTGCTTGGAGCGAGGGGGCTTGCAGTGCGGGCAGCCAGCCGGGGGGGGAGCTCGTGCGTGGCTGTGTTACCCAATTAACGGACGGAAAAACATTTATTATTAGTAAAATATATTTTTTATTATTCTTGAGTTGGTCTAATAAATACATATGTATTCATTAGTTAGTCTAATAAAAGATATCACGTTTACCCAAAGAACGTCATCTGCCTTTATTCCCCAAATCACAAAGGGCATTTTACACAAACAAGCACCGCAGCACTGCAACATTTGCAGTTGTATAAGTGGCAAAATGAGCATCAGCGCTGAGGAAAGGGCAGTGGCGCACTAAACACGTTGGAGGTGCTTTAGTTCAAAAGCGCAGCGCTGACACACATTTCACTGCTTGTACAACTGCACACGGTGCAGTGCAGTTTGCTCCAGCTCGTGTGCAGAGCAGACTCTGAAGCAGCGGATCTCCAGCAGGTTGCGGGATAGAAAAGTATGTGTATAAACAGTGGCCCGTGTAGGGGGTGCACATGCACCCCCATATAGCCAGCATTCCCCACTTTGGTCGCTAACTGACCACTGGGGGGGAGGCAAGTGCTCCCCCCAACTCAGGAGGCACCAGTCGCCTATGTGTGTTTATGCCCAAAGGTTCATGCCTTCCAAGATGCACTGTAGCCTGATAGAATAGGCACTTACACACATGCGAGGAGCCTGCTCTGATGTGCTGGAAAGCCAACACAGATTCGATTAATCAATTCTGCTAGAGCAAATTTATGTAAATTGACATACTCTGGCAGCCTTGCGTGTCACATGCATCAGCGGTGCAACGTGCCTCCGTGCTGAGAAAATGGTGGTGGTATGCTTTGAACTAAAACACGTTCAATGTGCTTTAATTCAAAGCACACTGCTGCTATTTTCTCAGCGCAGACGCACACTGCACTGCTGATACATGTGCTCCTGATGTGGCACCAGGTGCTTTTAATTAGCACAGCTCAACAATTAAAAGCACCCAGCACCAGGGTGGAAACGCATGTAAAAATGCTCAATGGTTCTGGCATTGTGCATGTGGGATATGCTGGTTTCCTCTGAGTGTTGGTGGCATCTGGTGGGTTCCACAAGAACAGGGGCAAGTGCCCCACAGAGTGCTGACCTGGGGGATTCCCAGGGTGCATGCACACATGCTTGAAATGATGGAAGAAACTTCCCAACAAATAATGGACCAAAGGCCTAGACACAAGTACAATTAGGAAAAGGAGCAGACCGTGTTCCTATACCAGCGCGCTTGGAAAATTCATAAGTGGGACACAAAGATTGTCCTTTAGGGCAGTGTTTCTCAACCCATGGATCGCAAGCTAAAAGTGGGTTGCAAGAATATATGAAAGGGTCACAAAAAAGCTTTAAAAATGGGTTCTCCTTTAAAGGAGAAAAACGTAGGAAACTGTGCCTTTTCCGTCGCAGGCTGGCACAGTTGCAGCCTGCAATGGGCTGCTTGGGGCTCCCCATGCCCCACAGACACCCCCTACCGCACACACTGGGGGGCAGGGGGAAGTGGGTCAGGAGTGAGGGGCACTGGGCAGAGACTGGCCATTGATATTTACAAATGGGTCCTGGTACAAAAAAGGTTGAGAACCACTGCTTTAGGGTTATTTGAATCCAAACCTGCTCTTCTCTGGCAGAGACACAGTCCAAGGTCTTTTGCCTTACATGCCTGGTCTTGCTGCTTTTGAAACTATTCTTTTTGGGGGGGTTCTCATTTTTGGAAGCCATATGGGGAGCCCTATCAGTCTATTTCCCTTTTGCCAGTATCATCAAATGACTCCAAGAGCTGGGTACCAGCCCCAGGCTTGCTTGGTTCATGATTTGTTCCTGCCCTGCCTTTAGGTATCTCTGAGTGGGGACCAAGCCTGAAGAGCCCAGGGACACAGGTGGGATCATATTGTGAACCTGAGCATAATATCCTGACTGCCAGCAGGCTCTCCTTTTGGTATGTCAAATAGGCTGAGCTTTTTATTGGTAGAACAATGTACTTGCCATTTTTAGTTTCAACATTACAGGCCTTGACACATGATGACTATTACAGCTTCCTCGGCTTCTGGCTAGTCTCAAAGGAAAGAGTTGTCCATGTCTCCAGGAGTCTTTCCATTGACTTTGGTGTGCACTGGATCAGGCCCAAATTGTGAAGGACCAGAAAAGGTACTCAGTGGGCGCATCTACACCTACATGTGCACTTTAACATGCATTAGCCTATTTTAATGCACATAAAGCATCACATAAAAACTGTGGGCACCTTTACATGTGCTCTGGTGGGGGAAATGGCACTTTAATTAGAGCAGCTCCAATAGCTACCATGTCTCCTGTATTGCATCCCTGTGCTTAAAAACAGTGTCAAGGGGGCTTGAGCTAAAGCTTGTTCCAACACCATTTTTAAGCATCAGGACACTGATACATGAGACGCAGGAGGCTGCTGGAGTACAGGGCTGGACACAGGCATGGACTTGGGCAACTGGTGCCTCCTGAGTCTGGGGGGCCACCTGCAGAAGCTGGCAGTGGTGGCGATGGTGGGGACAGAGCTGGCGAGTATCCACACGAGCTGGCATTGGCATTGGGGATGGAGCTGGTAAGCGCCCGCAGAAGCTGCCAGAGGCATCAATAGCAGGGACAAAGCTGGCGAGCACCCACAGAAGTCACCGGCAGTGTCAGCGGCAGGGACACATTCTTCCCTGTGCCTGCCCTACCAGTTGCCTATGGGCTCGTGCAAACTGGGTGGCCGCCTGGGGCCTGGACAGAAAGGGGGCCTGAAAATGGTAATTTTTAAATTATTATTATCATTGTTTCTGGCGAAGGGGGGCCCTGATACTAAAAGTTCATCCGGAGCTGCCAGGAGTCTAGGTATAGTGCTGCTGGAGTGCAGCAGTTGCCATGCTCCAGCAACAGGCCCTGCCCAGACTCAGTTCATCAAGTCTGCTCTGAGGTGCTGGAATTCCAGTGCATTGAAGCAGCTTCTGTATAGGCGCCTTGTGCTTTTTATTTCCTGTGCATTCAAATAAGCTAATGCGCATTAAGTGTTGCTTAAAAAGTGGTATCTTGATGTACATCAAGCCAGACTAGTGCACATTTGGGGACATGCGCTGAGGCTGCTTTGATGCACTGTAAATCCTAGTTTACAGGTTGTGGACCCTCCTGGACAACGTGGGTTCTTTGTTTCTTATCTTCAGATTGGGGTAGGATGCTTTTCTGGAAGAGATCCCCCAGACAAACCCAAGTTATTGGGCTTCATGCAGGTGAAATCCTTTGTTGAATGGAATTCAGGTCATGCCTTTCACCTGAGGCATGCTTCCAGGGATCTCATACACAGTTAGCCTGTTCTTGGGCCCCCTCTGGTCTCACAACCCCAGCAGCTCCCATTCCCACCTCTGCTTACAATCCATGGATTGCTGGGAATCAAGAACCATGGGGACAAAGCTAGAGAGGTAGGAGGAGGTGACCCCACGGCCTCATACCTTCCTGTAGGAACAGTGCTTCCCTCCACTGCA